ACAGTCCTCCTCCTGCTCTGATGCTGGACCAAAGAGGCCTCTCAGTCTGACAAGAGAGTGTAAACCTATCCAGAGCCCATGAAAGCTTAGGAAGTTAACTGATTCTTTTGAAAAGACACCTGGTCCATCCCAAGCCCAAACTAATAAAATTCAAGGGGAATAAAGAAACTCCCCCCCACCCAGGGAATTAGCGCTTGGGTCGTGCGCCACCAAGTCTTATCTCCATGGCCAAGAGGCCTGAGCAGCTGCATGGCCCATGTCTGTGCAGGCTCCAGAAAGAAGTCTGACTAGCTCAGCACACAAACGGTTCGCAGCCAGGAACAAAAGCTAAACTAGCTGGATGCTGGACTTGGCTATATATATATATTTTTTTTAAGATTTTTAATTTATTCTTGGGGGGGGTGAAGAGAGGGATAAAGAGAGGGAGAGAAACATCAATTGGTTGCTTCCCACACACACCCCAACTGGGGATGAAATCCACAACCTAAGTATGTGCCCTGATTGGAATCAAACCTGTAACCTTCTGATGCATGGAATGATGCTCCAACCAACTGAGCCACCTGGCCAGGGCTGAGCTGTATTTTAATATGGAGCAGAAACTTTGAGCAGTGGCCTTTCTCCTGGCTCTACTGAAGACAATATTAGACTTTTACCATGGTGAGATAGACAGAGATAGGGTATTGGGAAGTCAGGAGAGGAACTCCCTTAATTTCATATCACCATTAAAGTTTACCATGGAATCCCATCTTCCCTTGTGGGTCTCAGGAAATTCTTTTCCTTGTGACACTGCAAGAACTTGTTTTCTACCGATAACAGGACCATCGGAATTTGCAGTAGGCTAAGCAGAATTGTGGGTAGCCTGGATTCCACATGTGGGGCTGGCGTCTGAAATAGAGGCAGTTTGTGGGACTGACACCTTAACCTGGGGTCTGTGCTAACTGGGGAGTTCGTGTCATAATTGAATTGAATTGCTGGACATCCATTTGGTGACAGAGAGCTGAAGAATTGCTTAGTGTCAAAAAAATCACACATGGTGTCAGAAGTGGCGCCAGAGGAAAGAAAACAGAGTTTTGTAGTGCATATGTTATAATAATCCAGTGGAATATATAAAATTCAGAGTGTATAATGAAAAAAGTTTGATGATGATTGCCCAAGAGGATCAACTGGTAATATACTAACCATAAGAGAATTCATTAAAGGCAGTATAAGAAATTATAGGACTCTATAGCTTTCACAGATATAATCAAGCACCTCAGAGATAATATGGAAGAAAAGATCATTTCCATCAGAAAAGAAAGAGATGAAGGTGCAGGCCAGTGGCACAATGGATAACACATCTGATTATGAATCAGAAGGAAAAAAAATAGATGAAATACCTAGAGATAACCTTAGGTTACACAAAGTAATATATTAAAAATGGAAAGGCAAACCTTATTCCTGGGTTGAGAAAAAGACAATATAAATACTAAAGCTTTAGTTCTCATTAAGTTTGTAATTAATGTGATTGAAAAAATACCCTGGATGGTGTGGATTGAGTGTCAGCCTGCAAACCAAAAGGTCACTGGTTCAATTCCCGGTCAGTACACATGCCTGGGTTGCACGCCAGGTGCAAGAGGCAACCTATTGATGTATCTCTCATGCATCAATGTTTCTCTCCCTTTCTTTCTCCCTCCCTCCCCCTCTCTCTAATAATAAATAAAATCTTTGTAAAAGAAAAAGCCAATAGTAATTTTTTGTCCATGGTTTGCTTTTCTTTTTTCAGCCCTCACCTGAGGATATTTTTAATAATTTTTAAAAACAATTTTCTTAGAGACAGAAGAAGGGTGAGGGAGAGAAAGAGACAGAGATGGAAACATCAATGTGAGAAACATCAATCAATTGCCTCCCATATGTGCCCCAACTGGGAATCAAACCCACAACCTTTTGGTATACGGTCTGATGCTCCAACCAACTGAGTCTTCTGGTCAAAGCTGTATGTGATTTACTTTACAGTAACAGGAAAGGGCCCTAGCTGGTGTGGCTCAGTGGACTGAGTGCCCGCCTGCGAAACAAAGGGTCACTGGTTCAATTCCCAGTCTAGGGCATATGCCTGGGTTGCTGGGCCACGTCCCTGGTGTGGGGTATGTGAGAGGCAACCACACAATGATGTTTCTTTTTCTCTCTCCTTTCCCCTTTCTCTAAAAATAAATAAATAAAATCTTAAAAAATAAAAAATACCAAAAACAAAAAACAACACAACAACAGGAAAGGATGTGAAAGGTGGCAGAATATATCACCCTAAAATATGCTACTCTGGTATAAAGATTGTTTTGAGCTGAAAACGACTGAGAAACATACTAGAAAAGCTCCCTGCCTGCCACTATCTACCTAAAAGGAGGACATAAATTTGTAAAGGTATTCCCCTTTGTCCTTCTATCAGCAAGGACAGAATTAATCACCAAAGAACATTCTAGACCCTAATCTGCTGAGTCAGCACCAGAAGAATCTACATAATAAACTTAACTAAACTAGTCCTTATCTTCTATTAGTTCTCCCATATATATTTACCTGTCCGCAATTTGCTACTCCAGATGTGAAAAGTGCTTTTCCTTTCTTATCACATCTCTACAAAATTGTTTCTGTAAGCTTAAGTTCTAACCATCTCTTTGAGTTACTCATCACTGAGTACAACTGTATATATGCCCAATGCACATGTAAATAAACTTTAAATTTCATTTTCTCCAGTTAATCTGTCTTTGGTCAGTCTAATTTGCAGGGCCCCAGCGAATGAGAACCTAAGATGGGTACAGGAAAGTTTCCCCACCACGTACAGGAGAATATGGATGGTGTTGAAGGTGAAAAAATACATTAGTTGATAATTGCTGAAGTTGGGTGATGTGTAAATGAAAGTCATCATACTAGTTCCCTAGCTTTGTATATATTTGATACTTTTAAAATAAAAAGTTTTTAAAAAGGAAGAATGTCAGGAAAGGGGCAAATACTGAAGGAGAGATTGTTCTATGACATTACAAGACAGAACAAAACCCCAATAATTAAAACTGTGCAACTGGCACATAAAAAGACAGAATGTAGTTCAGTTGGTGGAGTGTCATCCTGCAAAGCAAACGGTTGCCAGTTCGATTCCTGGTCAAGGCACATGCCTGGGTTGTGGGCCAGTCCCCAGTTGGGGGCATATGTGAGAAGCAGGTGATCAATGTTTCTCTCACACACCACTGTTTCTCTGCTTCTCTTTCTCCCTCCCTTCCTCTTCTCTAAAAATAAATAAATAAAATCTTTTTGTTGTTGTTGTTAAAAGACACAACAAAGGAATAGAACAGTAAATCCAACTACAGACCTTAATACAGGTAAGGGAATTCTGCATATAATGAAGATTTTGCATTTCAACCACACAGGGTAAGACTGTAGAATAAACATCTGGTAATAGAACACCTGGGAAGTTATATAGAAAATAATTAAATCAGATACTTTCCATCTTACCCTAATCCTGTTATAGTCAAGATTTAATGTGGGAAAAAGACCCCACAAAAATACTAGAAACAAGAACAATCTATAACTATCAACAAAAATATGGTTTACACAAATATGCACAAAACACTCTAACATAAAAGGAATACATAATGACTCCATTTATAGAATACATGATTCCATTTTTGTAAAAAAAACAGGCAAGGCTAATTTACAGTGTTAGAAGTTAAGCTAATAGAGAAGTAGGGAGAGTGATGATGATTGGAAAGGAGCATGAGAGGGGCTTGTAGGATGCTGTAATAGTCTGTTTATCAATCTGGTTACTAGCTATACAGGTATATTCAGCTTGTGAAATTTACTAATGATATGTAAAATCTTCTATGTGTGTTATACTTCAATAAAAGTTTTAAAGTAAAATAAAATTACTAGAAAAAAACAAGGGAGAATTATTTTACAATCTCAGGGTAGGCAAGGCCTTCCTATACATAAAACCCAGAAGCCATAAAAATAAATTTCTGCATAGTAAAAAAAAAAACCAAAACCAACAACCCAATAGAAAAATGAGTTAAGAATATGAATATACCCATTTCAGGAGAGGAAATACAAATAGCTCCAAATACAGTACATTATGTTCAACCTCACCTACACTAAGAACAATGCAATTAATATAAGATACTTAACAAATTAGGGAAAAAACAAAAAGTATGGTATACCAGTTAACTGGTGGGTGAGGCAAGAGGCATACCCATGCAATGCTAGTGAGTGGATAAACTGGCAAAACCTCAATGGAGAACAATTTGACAATAATTTTGAGGTTAAAAATGCCCATATTCTTTGACAAGGCAATGTAACTTTTAGAAACGTATCTTACAGATAGCCTTGCACATCTGTAAAACAATGAATGTACAAGAATATTTGCTGCTGTGTTGTCTAATAGTAAAATAGTGAAAATATTACAGATGTGCATCAACTGTATACTGGTTAAATAAAGTAAATGCTAGAACGTCTTTGCATGTAAACAGTTTGAACCTAGTGAGGACGACTAAGTTTCTTGGGATAACGCCTGAAAGACTTTTCAAGACATATTTGTTTAACTTTTTGAATTTTGAAACACATATTGTACCTATGAAAAGAAAGTTTTAAAAACTGTTTGTAAGTGAGAGAAAAATGAGCTAGGGTGAACCTAGCCACACTCTATCCCACTGTTGGAGATTATCAGGGGGTGACAATCACTCAAACACTTGAAAATACGGTTATCTCTAGACTTAATACACTAGTAGAATTCCCACAAAATAAATGTGATTAGGCATATGCAGGGAAAAAAAATCAAGAAATTGTAAAAGTGGGAGCCCATTTTTCCGACTCTCACAGACCGGGTGGTTTTTGCTTCAGCATTCCCCGAACAAATACAACTGAGACTACAATACAGGGTGAAATGTAATCATATCTGAAGCACCTTATGCGGGAAAGTGGTAAACGAGACCAAGAAGCTCCGGGCAAGGAGAGGAGATGAAAGAAGTGAGCCACCTACTCACACTCGTACTTCCGATTGACTGGAGGATACTTGGCCTTGATCGCTTTCTGCTCCTCAGTCAAATTGTAGTCTCTAACATCTTCCTCTTCCTGCGCCATGATTGCAGCATTGAGCACTCTACTTCCGCCTTTCATCAGTTGGACTTCGGCCCTGATTTACAACTTCCGCTTTAAACCCCGCCCCTTGGCATGCACCCTTAAAGCACCGGGACTTCAGGCGTACTTTATCACTTAAGACTTCCGTTCTAGTCCTTGCCGCTTGTAGAACATCTTTAAAAAGTCCATACCCCATTTTCTGGACTTGCTGCATCAATGGTTCTAAATACTAACGAAACAAATTGGAGGACCTGGGAGTAAGGGACACTCGAATTAGACACCTGTAGGTCTGAGTGATAGATGTCTTTTCATTCTGCCCCTGTTGGTAACTAGACTAAAATGCGTCCAAGTGTTCACCTGAGTACTTGGAAGTGGTGGTAGCCTAACAACCTTTAAGAAAATGGCTGCCCCCAAGAGAGTGCGGACTAAACGGCTCACGTGACCCCAGGCGGGCGCACGCCCACCAACAGCGCGCGCGCGCGCTCGGTCGAAGGAAGTCGGCCCCGGGCCTTGTCGAGGCAGGAGCAGAGAGCGCGCTTGCGGCTCCCGGGTAGCGACTTCGCGCTTCTGGATAGGCTGTAAACGCGGACTGCCCGCCCACTTCGCCATTCGGGGTGCACCGATTGGCCGGTGTTGGCGCGAAGGTACGCGAGTCAGCCCTCACGCAGGGGCAGCAGGAAACAATAGAGGCCGCGCGCAGAGAGCGAGCGCCCGTAGTCTCCCCGCCCCTCCCGCAACGGTAGACCTCGGGATACCCCTGGCTTGCCTGCCCGCCATGGCCGACAAGGAAGGTGAGGGTTCCGAACCCGCCCCAGGAGGACGGGGCGTGCCGGGCTTGCGCCGCGGCCTCCACACGGCCTAACTGTGAGAGCAGGCCCGATTCTGCTGAGTGCTGTCTGCACCATTGAAGGCGTGAAAGCGAAATCGCCCCTGGAGGCGGGCTAACGGCGCGCCAGTTCCTCTGGAGAGGAGGCCCGGCGCGGAGGGGTGAAGCTGGCGGTGGGGGCCCCGGCGGGTGTTTGATCTTTCCTCGCGCTCCCTGTCGTTCTGCCTGCCTCTCTCTAGTTCCGTCCTGCACCGCTTTATAACACCCAGGGGGTCGGTACTCGGGCCTTCTCGCGGGTCTCGTAAACTTAACCGCGTGGGAGAGCGTGCTTCCGAGGCCCGGCGCCGTCTCCCGAACGGCTGACGGAGTGTCTAGCCGGGATGACCCGAGAGTAGTTACGACCCGCGAAGGTGGAGGGGGTGTTGGTGCCTCCGCCTCGGGGAGGTTTAGACATACCTGCTCCGTATCAGGGCTCAGGAGCCGTAGTGGTAGTTTTGGAAGTGTTTACTCGATTTCTATTGTGTTCGCTAACTTAATTTGTTTTCAATATTTTAGCAGCCTTTGATGACGCAGTAGAAGAACGTGTGATCAACGAGGAGTACAAAATATGGAAAAAGAACACCCCTTTTCTTTACGATTTGGTGATGACCCATGCTCTGGAGTGGCCCAGCTTAACTGCACAGTGGCTTCCAGATGTAACCAGGTGATACAAATCTCTTAAACATTTTTTGGTGTGACCACAGTGTAGATTTATCACGTCTGTTTTCCCTATTTTTATCTCCAGCCACCCTTAGGGGGCATGTGATCGAAACCTATTGGTGACATTTTTTTCTAGGCCAAAAAGTGGGCAAAATGTAAAATTACTTTGTAATTTTTCCTGATAAGAGGAAACATGCTGTTCTCTTTTTCTGTTACTGGGTTGAATAGTCACAACTGCAGTGTACCAAATAATAATGGGAAACTGTCAGCTTTCAAACCAGCTCTTTTAATTTCACAATCATTGGTTGTAGCTGGTTAATATAAAGATGAATGTGACGTGGTACTTGCCTGCAAGGAGCATGGTCTGGTTGAAGCAGGTTTAACTAATAATTATAGTTGCACGGGCTCAGAGCAGTTTCAGAAAGCTATTTAGGATGCTTAGAACGAACACCTGAAGGTGGGGTGGTTTACATATGAGGGAATTATGCAGGGTGAGAGATTAATCGCATGTATTTCTTACTCATGGGTAACTTTGGTAGAGCAGATAAAAGACTATTTACTTCAGCTTACATTTACTGAGAGTCTAGGTGCCACTTACTAAAACACACAAGCTTAGATAAATATGTTTCTTCTCTACCTTGACTTGCATGTATAACCTGTAACAGTAAATTAACATCATGAGAGAGGCAAACATAAAATGATGAGATGAAGGAAAAAGTACCTCATCTGAGTATGAGGAAAGGCTCAGGTTTTAGCAGAACCAGTGTGCCTATTGGAATAATGAATTTCCTATTATAAAACTTCTAGTATTCAGAATAACATTGAAAAATTTTATGCGTGCTAAAAAAAGAAATTCCTTTAAACTTAGGTCTTTAGAAGTCTATATATGCTTCAGTTCAAAAAATAATAGAAATCTAATAAAAATGTTATTAAGAATGCACATAACTGGTTTGTGGGTTTGGCCTCTGGTTGGGGTGTGTATGAGAGGCAACCGATCAAAGTTTATCTCTCACATCAATGTTTCTCTCCCTCTCTCTAGAAAATAAATAAAACCTTTATTTTAAAAAATGAGACCATTACTTTTGCAGTGGCATTTAAAAAATAAATACCTAGAAATTTTGAGTTGGAAGCTTCTTCATGTTCCCATGTTCAACTGACCCATCAGAATCATCCATAAAAAAGAACGAGACCTTGCCATATGGAGCAACATGGATGAGCCTAGAGAGTTTTGTGCTGAGTGATATAAGTCAGAAAAAGACAAATACCATGTGATTTGACTTAAGGGGAATCTAGAAAATAAGATAAACAAGCAGAACAGAAACAGACTTATAGGTACAGAGAACATTTTGATGGTTGCCAGGTGGTGGAGGAGTCAGGGGCTCGGGTGAAAAAGAAGGGATTAAGTACAAATTGGTAGTTACAGAATAGTCATAGGGATATAAAGGACAGTATAGAGAATACAGTCAGTAATGTAATAACTATAGTACCAGATGGGTACTAGGTTTGTTGGGGTGTTCCTAAGTTATATAATGTTTAATCACTTAGTTGTACACCTGAAACTAATAAAATATTGTACATCAACTGAAACTGAAAAATTATTGCTTTGGCTGGGTAGCTCAAAATTATTGCTTTGGCTGGGTAGCTCAGTTAGTGTCATTCTGCCAGGGTTGCTGATTTAGTCCCCCATCTTGGCACATACAAGGATCAACCAATGAATGCATAAATAAATGGAACAACAAATTGATGTTTCTTTCTCTCCTCCCCCTTCTCTTTTCCCCTATCTCTGCCCCACCCCCCTCAAAAAAATCAATAAATAAAAAAAAATTAAAAATTACTAAAATGTGAAAAAAAAGAATTACTTGAGTTCAGTAGAAGTAGAGTTTTTTCTGACAGGAATTCTCGATGGTAATTCAAACCATTAAACTTATGGCAGAGTACTTGATTAGAAATACTGTAGTTGGTGATTACAGATTTACCAATCATCTGCTAAATTATATTGGACCAGTGTGTCTCAAATACTAGCCACCCCGTACTTACTAAATCATCCTGGAACCCAAAGCTTCCCGTATAATGTGATTAGCTGATTTGGGAAAGCAATGAATTAGACTAAATCCCCCAAGGCTAAAATCTATGTATCATAATGGTTTTTCTTTAGCAGATTTAGGCAAATAAACTTTTCTGTAATATTTGACATTGGTCCAAATACCTTGCCTTTTTTCTTTTTTAGTATTCACATATAACAGTTTGTTTTTTAAGGATGAGAGTTATTTATAACCAAGCATCTCTAATGCCAAGTGTTTAATTTTTTGTGTGTGTTCTTTTTTTGATATTTGTCCATATCCTTTAAAAAATAGTTCTATAATCGTTTCTCACTTCCTCTGGTTCTTTAACTTTGTAAACACAAGTGTTGTCATTTTATATTGACAGCTCTCCTTTTTTTAACTGTACTTTTTTTTTTTTTAATCTTCAGAGAGAGGGGAAGGAAGGGAGAAAGACGTCAGTGTGTGAGAGAAACATCAGTTGGTTGCTTCTCACATGCCCCCAGATGGGCCTGGCCTACAATCCAGGCATGTGCCCTGACAGGGGATTGAACCAGCAACCTTTCAGTTCACAGGCCGGTGTTCAACCCACTGAGCGACACCAGCCAGGGCTGCTTTTTCTCTTTAAGATGCAGATGTACATCACCTCTGCAGAGGAATTCCAATTGGATATTTTAGACCCAACTTCTGGGCTCTTCCTGAATATTCAGCTCCCTACTAGTATTTTCTCTGGATTATTTTACTGGCTTCTCAAACATGACACATTCTACCCTGGCTGGTGTGGCTCCGTGGATTGAGTGCCGGACTGCCAAGCAAAGGGTGGCAGGTTCGATTCCAAGTCAGGGCACATGCCTGGGTTGCTGGCCCGGTTCCCAGTGGGGATGTGTGAGGGGCAACCACACATTGATATTTCTCTCTTTTCCTCCCTCCCTTCCCCACTCTATAAAAATAAATAAATACAATCTTTTTTTTAAAAAAAAGTGAAACTTTCCAAACAATACATTTACATGGAAGTCCCACCACAACTTTCTCTTAGAGTTTGACTTTAATTTTTTTTTTTTTTAAAGCCTTCTCTCCCATTGTGTTTTCCCATGCCCAAAGTCAGATTTGGACTTGTTCTAGTTCTTTTACTTACTAGTGTGCTCTAAGGCAAGTTGCTTCATCTTTATAGTGTTAATAGTATTTAAATGATGCAAGGTATATGCAGTGATTAACACAGTGTGTGGTGCTTTTGTAGACCTTCCCCTTTGCTCAGTTCGTTCCTTCCTCAACATTTTTTTACTGCTTTTAGAGAGGCAGGGAGAGGAACATCGATGTGAAAGAAACATCGATCATACGTGTCCCACCTGGGGACCAAACCACGGCCCTTCAGTTATGGGACAGTGTTCCAACCAACTGAGCCACACCAGCCAGGGTCGATTCCCTTTACCTGGAATACCTACTTGTCTTCTGGGGCCCATGTTCCACTCTGCCAGGTTTTATCTCTCATTTTGAGACCTGCTCAGGTATCGCCTCTTCAATGAACACTTCCTTCATTATAGAATAATCTTTTTTTCCCTAAATTCTTGCATTATGTACCTTCTGTGTAGTTTATATTGACTTGTGTTTTAGTCATTTGTGTACATGCCTGCCTGATTCCCCTTGTCTCCCCTGGTTTTTTGAGAACAGGAA